GCAGCCCCCCCCCTCCCGGGAGTTTTTCCGTTTAGTTGTGTCTTGAGTTTTTTGTGCTGTTCTTTTTGTTGGGTTTTTTTTTTTTTTTTTTTTTTTTTTTCCCATGCAAAGGCACTGGTAATGCTTCAGTTTTTACTTTCTAATTCGTTCCATGTGTGTTCTGAACTACCAGCGGCCTGACAAAGCCTCGTGCAGAGTCACTCATTGTAATCTCCTCCACAAAAAGAGCAGCCCAAAAAACTGAAGAGACAACTAACCGGAAGAACTCCCGTGAACAATCTGTGTATTTGCTCATTGAGCCTCTCCAACTTTTAAATTCAAACATTAATAATTTGTTGGTAATATTAAGCAAAATGACCTGAACTTTCCATGGCTACTGTAGTTATGGATATCGTAACAGTCTGTTACAGAATCACAGAATTGTTGGAGTTGGAAGGGACCCTTAAAGGCCACCTGGTCCAACCCCCTGCAATGAACACGGACACCACAGCTCCATGAGCGCTCAGAGCCCCTCCAGCCTGACCTCGGGTGTCTGCAGGGATGGGGCACCTCGGTAACCTGCACCAATATCTCACCGCTCTTATTGTAAGGAACTTCTACCTTACATCCAATCTAAATCTCCCTCTTCCAGTTTGAAGCCATTTCCCCCTGTCCTGTCACAACAGACGCTGCTAAGAAGTCTGTCTCCTCCTTTCCCTTAGTCCCTCTTTAGACACTGACTCTGCTTTGGGGTGCCATTGATACTCACTGCAGTGTTTCAAGTTGTTTGCTTCAGTACCCAGATGTGTCTGGGAAGCATGTCCAGCTATGAAGAGCATGGACTCTCTGACTGTTGCCTACTGCAAGAGCTCAGTACTCTTTTTTTATCTTCCCCTGGACTAGGGGGTCATGGTCACTGTAGCTGAACCCGCTTCCCTTCCCTTCCCTGTTTGTACTGAAGAACTACATTATCATGACATTATCTGAAATCGAACATTGCCTAATATTTGCATTTCATGTGGAACCTTGAGCTGCCAAACACCACGTCAATATATGAATGGAGAAAGCAGTGCTAAAGATCTTGTATTTAAGATCTGTCATTCTGTTTTACCGGAGTTTTACTGGAGTTTAAGATATGGTGACAGCAATGCTATCAGAGTGAAACCTTGTGAGGACTGACATCCATTATAAAAGCACAAAGAAACAGCCTTTGTGCAGGAACTGTGTAGAAACCTAATGCCACAAAGCAAAGAAATGGACTCAGAGCTTTTTCATTGCCTTTCTGGTGGTGCTGGCTGTAGACCAGCTTGGATCATCAAACACATTGTGTCATCTTCAGAGCAATGGGGAAAGAGTATCTTCATGGGGCGCAAATAAAGAAGGTGAGATTAAAGAAAGACATCCCAACTTTTTTTTTCAGAATCACTGCTATTGTTAGGGTTCTTTTTCCTCCTTATACTGTACTATACTTATACGTGAGCTACTGTTGGCTTTTACTGCACATGAGCTACTGTTAGATTGCTGGGTTTTGTTTTTTTGGGGGTTATTTTATTTTATTTTATTTTATTTATTTTATTTTATTTTATTTTTTTAATGCTGTAGATTGATTTTCTAAAAAGTGGGGGAAAATCCAATTTAAGATGAGTAAATCATTTAACTTCCCATTACTTTCCTTTTCCTAAGGTATATAAAGTTTTATGGTTAATGCATGGTTAATTTCTATGTGCAGGGAACCTTTGGCCGTGGAAAAGTCTGACTGGGTTTCTCATGCTAAGGAATCTCTTGCCAAAGAACCTGACCTGAGGCTTGCTGATGCACAAATGCTGACACGTGCCACCTCCCCATCCTGCTTAGTCTACAAGTCAAACCTGCTGCCTCTGTTTGCCCAGGTTTCGCCATCGCTTTTATGATTGTGAATCTTCAGAGAGCAGTTCATTGGCCTACAAAATAATATTGTTCAACAGCTCCAGTGTGGGACAGCTGGGCGTGGTGAAAGCCTCTAGAAACACGTCTTCTTTCTTGTCCTTCCTTGTACAACTTGTCATTTAACAGACCTCAGGCTCGGATTTGCAGAACGTTGCATGGAATTTGCAGATGGAGAAGATGAGCACTGCTTCATTTGCTGCACAGAGAGTTGTGTCTCTATCAGCTTATAGGAGCTTGTGCAATTCTGCCTCTGTGTGCAAGCAGCTTGTCTGATCACCCAGAGGAGATGGAAGACAGGCATTTCTGGAGAGAGCCCAGCCAGGGTAAGAGAGACAGCTGTCACCCACCCAGCTGCACTCTGCTTTAATTCCACCCTCACTGCACACAGCCGTGCTGCTGGTATTATAGCAAATGGCACTGGGCAACGTAAAGGAAAATAAGGACAAAACAGAAATAATGTTAAGCTGTCCTGAACTTCTTCAATGTGAGCAATCCAGGGACTTGGAACAACCTTCTGCGGGACGTCTTGACATCTCCAGTGTGGAAACCCAGGTGGTGCTCCTGGGCTGGTCTAAGCTGCTGGTTGGAGCAGGCCCTGGTGCCAGGCTGAGATGTGGTGCATCCGACCTGGTTAGAAAGCCCATCAAAGTAAGTAGCAGAAAGATGTTCTGGCTTTTGAAAGGCACTTTTTTTTAAAATTTGATTATAAATTCAGCCACATGCTTGGCAAGAGCAAAAAGAAGCTGTAAAGTCAGCCATTTCACTCTCAAAAGTTTCCATCAAAGATGAGACAAAGGCCAAATAAAAATGGCGTGGATGGAGGGAAGGGAGCATAATAGATACTGGAAGTTGTAATTAATCAGACTATTTAGGTAATCAAAATACTTAAGCCGTAAAGACATAAAAAAGAAATTAGCTCTGTCCATATCTCTGGACTGTATCTCTACAGTTACATTAAGAGAGATTGCTCTGTATTAATAGTTGTGCAGAAATGCTGAGCTCTCAGTGAATGCCAGAGTCCAGTACGGTCTCCTAGAATAAAAAAGCTAAGTGTTACATTTTTTAGTGTTTCTGTGGAGTACAAGGCTTAGTTACTTACTGGACTCCAGTGTGCTTTCTTACATTCCTTTCACTGCCTTTCACTTCTCTTTGCTTCCTCAAGGCTAATCTGTGGGATTTTAAAAATGTGACTCATGTCAAATTCTCTGAAGTTCATCTCTGCTAATCTTACAAGTCAGACATAATCTCCACCATCAGCTTTGTGTCTAACTCAGAAAATCTGCATTCCTGAATATTTGTTTTCATCCAAAAGCTTTGTGAGCCTGTGGCAGTACTGAAAAATATGTTTTCTCCAATCTGAATGAAATGAAATTATTGATTTTGCCATTTAGCAGCAGTTACAAAGTTCTCATCTGGCAATGGCGCACTGCCCAAGGAGGTGCTGCACCCCTGGAGGTGCTCAAGAACCATGGAGGTGTGGTGCTGAGGGTCGTGGTTACTGGGCATGGGGGGGATGAGAGCTGGACCTCATGATCTTGAGGTTTTCTCCTACCATGATGATTCTGTGATTCTACGTTCATGTTCATTTAGCCTGTAATAGAGCCACCTTCTTCTGCTCTGTTCTGGCAAGTGCTACAAATTCATGTATGGTAAATCTAGTAGTGAAGAACTGCATGAACTTTTCTCTTCAAATCAAGTGCTATGCAAGTTCCATTCAGGTAATTATTGCCTTCTGATTGCTATCTAATACTCTAATACATATATTATATATATATATATATATATATCCTGGGACACAGGAAGATGTTTGTAACACAAGTCCACACCAGGGAAATACTAAACTGATATTTCACAATGGGATATGGAGGTGCTGACATTTGCTAAGTGTAGCCAACTGAAGAGATGCAGTGAGGTGGGGAGAATGGAGCTACTCAAAATACCTTGCTGAATAACCTCTCACTCTGTACTGATTTGCAGCAGCACAGTGAGTTGCTGCCTGCAGCAGCGCTGAGCTGCAATTGCTGGTCATGGCTCCTTTGCTTGGGGTGAAAGCAGTAACTACCTGGCAGAGAGCAGCCTTAGTAATAAAAGCACTGAGGGACTGGCTCGTTTCTTTCGCTTTATTTTAGTGGTTGAGAGTAGCTGTCCTTTATGTCCTGCTGGCTTGCAGTGGTAGGGAACATTTGCAAAGTCACCTTGAGCTACTGCTGAGCTCCCAAGATTTGGCCATGCAGTTTCTGTTACGCTGACAGCAGAAGCATGCAGCAGAGCAAAGGCTGCAGATCCACAGCAGTTTTGCAGTCCATTTAAATCTGGAAAGGAGATGTTGCCGCCTCGATCGTTTTTAATCCCTGCAATTAAGTCCCTCCAGTCCAGATCACTTGGAAAATGCAGCAGTGATAACCATCAGGAGCTGTGCTGGGAGCAGTGGTGCTTGTGTAACACTTGCTGCCCACCTCACTGGGTGTGCAGTGCTCCCAGGCATGGCCCAGCTGTGGAGACAGCCCCGTGCCTCCCCAGGCCTAAGTTCTGCACTTCCCAGATTTCAGAAGAAGCAAAGGAAAACAATGGCATGGAAATAAGGGAGGGGAAGGCATTACAGACATTAGCACTGCTCCTACAACAGCAACTTACTGAGAAGACCAGGTGCGTTTGCTGATCACCTTTCCAAAGCTCATTTGTGATGCTGAGTTTTATGACATACATAAAGTGTTTTCGTTTGGTTGGTTTTGTTTTAATCTTAAGTGTTCTTATTTAAGGGATTCATCTTGTGCAAATTCACCAGGTAAAGTCTCTTCATTTTACTGGGAGTGCTGAGG